AAATGTTGTATTTGTTGTACAAACACAAATAATACAACAATAATTACGTTTATATTGACTTTATAATTAAATTTTATTTATAATAATAAACAGAATTATATAATAATAGGGTCAAATGGAATTGCAAGAGGTAGCTAACATATGGAAACCTAAGGGAGCGCTTATGCATTATTGGAAAGAGACATGGGAAAAGAAGCCAACTAATTTCATGTCAAAATTTCTCAGCGGCCATGATTAATTTACTTTTTATCGTTAGTTCAAGAGATGCATTATAAAAGTATATGATTGTAATAATTTATGTATATATAAACATGTAAATACAAGGTTCTCAACTAATTTTTGGTACGAGTGGACATTCTGTATTATGAATGCACTTATCTAATAAAGATGAGAGTAGCACAATATTAACGAAGGCAATGTTTCGACAAGACTCTTTTTAATCAACTTTTATAGAAGGTAATAATTCTTTTAATTTACATTTTATCTATACATTGATATATTATTATTTAGTTATATACATTTGACAACATGATATATTACTAAGCACCTTAGGTATAATCTAGTTTACTTCTCACAGCCATACGGACAATTTACTTCCTTCAAATGAACAAGAATAGACTTATAGATACTATAGATATACATGTGTGCGCTACTATATGTATTTTATATACATACGTCTTATACATTCATGCTTCACATTTAATTTTAAGCGCGCGTGTATGTAGTCGATATTGAAATACTCCAAAAATTTTCTATTAGATAAATCTGTACATTTTTTGCTACATAAATTCAAATATAACTCTTACTAATTTTAGTTTCTCTCGATTTACATAAATAAAAGCATAAAAATTATCTATGAAACAAAAATATCTTGATCATTCATATATCGACTATATGCGTGCGCGATGTCATCCTAAATTTTCTTTTTCATACTATTAAACACAATAGATCGTCGGATGAACTAAGTGTCCGTGGTGTACTTTGGTCATGATTTTTATAAAATAGTTTGCTGTTTTCATTACACAATCGAATTAAAAATCTTAACAAAGAAAAAAAAACAGGAGAAGAGTCCTGTACCATGTAAAAGTTGTTTTTACCGCGATGCACACGTTCAGTGTGTATATGTGTACAAGAGTTATAAAATACCTAAATATTAAAAATATATACAATGTATGTCGGTAACTTTCATATACATATAAATTGCACGTATCTAGGCTAGAAAAAAGATGGCAACAATAAATCATGTTTATGATTCGCAAATATAATTTTCACATAGTTTACACGTCTGGTAGCGTACAGTTTTTACACGTGATTCTATTTTTTGCTATCTAGTTCGTCATACTAAAAGAAAAAAAAAAGAAAAAATAAATTTTCTCGAATGCGTACTAGACCACACTTTCGCGTTCGTTTTGTTTATCATACCCTGCTAATATTCCTCTTCTTAAAGAGACATTGCTATTGCGCAATCCATTACCGTTGAACATTTGTATAATGGTTGAAACAGGCGGAATTTCTAACAACTTTCGCGCGGAAGACTTTTTATCAGGTACACTGTCCATACTAGATGCAGATACCACCTGGTCCAGCGAGCGCGAACGCTTCTCTCGTATTTCTCTCTTGTCCGCATTGTCGTCATCTAAGAGTGGGTCTGCTTCATTCGGAGGGTTATCGGTGTGAGACATCATTATTATATTGCCGTTAGGATAATTGTTATTCAGCATTTTCTCAGAAATGTCCGCTTTCGAATCGATACGCGTGCATTCGTTCTCCTTCCAAAAGTTCGGCGACTCGAACCGCTTATTATATACGTCAGTGGGAAGCGGATCAAGTGAACGGGATCCGCGTATAACAGTTTGGGATGGATAATCACTTGATGACGAAGACGCGATGGTAGATAGGGCACGTGCATTTTTCCTAAGCTTCGGTCCGGTACTTATGAACAAATCGTCGACCGATTTAACATTTAAGCATCTCTGTGCTTCCTCTTCTTCCTGAACTGAAACATTGTCTAGTGTAGTCTTCGAGATGCTTTCAGTCAAAGATAGGGGAGATCTCTCAAGTTTGCGAGTATGTAATTGTCGCGGAACTGGACTAGATCCACCACACTGAGAAGAAGCGTCATCTGCCACTGGATATGGTACATTTGATTGTCTGCGACTCCCGGCACCTAATCCATCTAACAGCGATGCATATCGTGAATCTGGATTTAGTTTCGGACTTTTCCGCGGTCTACAGAATAGTGGTGGAAGATGTTCATCTCCGTTAGAGTTCTGTAAAGGCAAAAGTACAATCTTAAAAAACAGAATCATAAGAAAATTAACAATATAAGGGTATATTTAAATTGTACTTTTTTTTTAAGAACTTTAGTATAAATTCAAAGTTTAGAAACTTCATTAACGAATTATGAATCTTTAAAATATAAATAATGTAAATAAATACATTTCTTTTGATTTAAACTTAACTAAATATTTCTAAATAAAAATTGTTAAAATTTTAAACCGTGACTAAAGAGCACATGTTCTTATTATATTATGTTTTTATATAGGGTGCTTTCCATTTAGTAACACAAGTCGACACAAGTATCGTTCTATCTTTCTTGGCTTTCAATGATTAATAAGGACAAAATGATACTTGTGTCAACTTATGTCACTAAATGGAAAGCACCCATAATATCATATAAGCAAACCTCTGTATTTTATATACAAACCTCTGTATTTTTTCTATGCGTCACAGTAGCTCCCGTAAGCCAGTAAGTCTTCACTGTTCCCTTTCCTTTCATTTCAACAAAGCCACGCTCTTCAATCTTATAACCTCCGATTTTATCTAACGCTTCTTTGCATTGCTTACTGATATGTATTCGTAATGGTTCTCCAGTAGATTCCATACGGGACGCTGTATTAACGGTGTCTCCGAATAAGCAATATCTAGGCATCGTCAAACCTACAACGCCTGCTACTACAGGACCTGTAATTTTACATTCACATATTATTATCGATTCTGGACTATAATGGATTCTGTACACACACACACACACACACACACACACACACACACACACACACACACACACACACACACACACGTAC